ATTCCTTGGTTGAAAGGTAGTCTAATTCATGTGCGATCGCAATATTACACCAAAAAGATTATTTGTTGCTACTGTGCCTCATGTTTAGACTGATGTTTCATACATCCTGATTATTTACTGCACCTGGGCTACACCGATTTACACTTAACTTAGGTCTTCCTATCCCAGATAAAAAGTATTGCACCTAATTTAATTGCTCAGTTCTGTAATTCCGCCGCATATGCTGTAGCAATTTTGCGTGCTTATTTACTTTCAAATTTATCCTGTCACTTGATATCCCCGGTTTGCTTGCGTTTGATGTGAATATTGCCAAGATGTCACCCTGTCTAACACCCTCCATCTCGATTAATTGCTCCGGGAGACCGTGAATCGTTTCTAGGGCAGACGGGCTGCACGGTCCTCGTGACCGTGCTAGGCCAAAAAGTGGTGCCTACCAGTATGCAACGGATTACCAACCACCATTTTTACAATCCCTGGTACGCATGATTTCCATTTTGATAGACAGGAATGCTGCTGCTGTGCACATTGAAGGAGTGTGGGCCGGCTCCGCTGATGTGACGTGGTTCCCTTCCACATGCTTCCCAGTCTTATTGTAGTGAGGCGGAAGACAGACATGTCGAAGGACAGAAAGATCACTAAAGCGCGGGAGGACAGTAAGGGGAACAGGCACAATGAGATGGAGCAGTCGGAGCAACACTGGTCTGACGGCACGAGACAAAAACCAGGCACGAGCGGCTTCCGGTATTGACCCTGAGCCAGATAGAACGGGAAGGGTATTCGTCGAGAATGCCATTAATAAGGCAAAACCGCTATTACTGTAGCCTCCCGGACCAACCCCAAGCACAGTGATGCATCCACATTCAAGTGGATCACGAGCAATTGGACGTCTCTGGGCCGGTCAGGATGGGACGCATAGAAGCCGACATACAGGGATGAGATGGTCGAGGATTACTTCATCGCGAGACCCTCTAAGTACATGGACGTGTCGCAAGCGGAAGCCAAGACAGTCGGTGCGTCGTGGGAAGGAAGCTTGACTCATTAATGTACGCCTACGTGAGTGGTCATATAGCCTGTGATCGCGTCAAAATAGAGTATGCTTCATTGCCGCGTCGTTCTCGCTACATTATTCTTTCGAGTTTACGGTGGCTATGGGACACGTGGATGGAGCTGTGAGTGGTGCAGTATAAGACACGTATGGTTCCTCAGTAGGCGCAGGCGTCCTGTGACTGTCCTATGTAGGCCTGAGTGACAGACAAATCCGGAACCGGATGCCGGTCATCCCTTGCTCTCTGCCCACCTACTTAGAGCACCTGTAGCTCGACACCATTTTTACCTTGTATAACGTAGCATTGTCGAAACTGCTCGTTCTTCGAACCGTGTCTAACGCCTGTTTTGCTCTCATCGAATTCTTTTCAGCTAACCTTTTGGAGTAGCCTAGCCTGAGCCATTGCAACTCTCTTCTGCGTCATCAGGTTTCATATATGTGCAGTATCGCAAAAAATGTGTTATTTCGTCTACCTTTATGTTATTTGTTAAAGAACTTCATCAAAACCATATTCAACCATGTGGCCACCATAAATCAGAAAAGCGCTAGATTGCCATGTTTTTCTACCGAGCAGTACATGGGCTGTACGCATCATCCTGGAAATCCATAGAATTTAATGCGGTGTCTATCTATTATTACTTAAAGCCGTAAAGCAGTAGTGGTTTAGGCGGTCCAACGTGACTAGTTACCAACTACGACATAATGTTCCCCATTCTGCTCTACGATACACCTTACTGTGTACACAAGATAGTCTTAGCTGTCATAATTTCATTTCCTCTATTTGAATTATCAAATAGCTTAGATCTGTCACATTGGAAGCCCCGGCTATGAAGAGTAGCCCAAATTATAGGTACACAAACTGGACCTCAGTACATAGCCCTCTAATTGATTTCACTGAAAGAACATGATGTGTAACTGGTAAAAGTTCATTTTCATTTTTCAGTTTCAGTGGCTTAATATTTCCGGTTGGGCTAGTCTTACTTGAACTGCTACCGTTTAACTGTGTGTGATACCCTTTCGACAAGATTCTTCTCCGTTGATGACATATTTTACACAAGGTGGTATGTAATTTGCTGCGGTTCCGCTCAGTTCAGCGTATGAGTTGGTGTGTTCTAAGGATGTAATCAAATAATATATACTTATGCCCCACATACAATATGCTATTGGACAGTCTTTTCTGTATTACCGAGATCATGCCCATCCCTGGAGTCCTGAAACGACCCAGCTTTCCTACTTAACGCTAAAGTTTTTGATCCATACTAACTACTCGACGGATCCGATGTCCTTACTACGGCCAAGTATGACCTTCTTAGAGGATTATAATCCAACAATCCAATATAAAGTCTACTTCAAAGAGCAAAAGTGCCGAAATATTCAGGTGCACCAAAAAATGTTTGTTTGGAAGAACCCAAAGTTTATTCGTTTAGGTTGATTCCAGCCGCTCTGGACCATCAAAAGCAAACCTCAATAGGAATTGATCAAGTTTCATATGAAAAGCATTTGGTAGTCCTGACGTGTTCATTTTCCCCTTGATACCCGACGCTTAAATCATTTGCTTTATCCGATCTAATTGACTTATCTTACCTAGAGGTGTGACAACATTGCACGGATAACCACAATTTTCGGTTACAAACTTCGGTTAAAAAGTTCCCGTAGTGCCCCCAGTAGGAACAATTGCTGTACGTACTCAAAATGTTCATCTAAATTTGCCTGAATGGTAGTCAGCTAATGGGGTTCATGTGCTGGTTCATCAACACACCATAAAAGCATTGTAATGCTACAGTCGTTTACCTAGTCGTCGGAATTACTCGTCGCTCCTAATAAATTTAATGTTTCTACTTGCATCTTGATTGCTTACCAAAAGTCACTGAACGCCGTAATCAAATCTTCCCAGCTTGTGCTACAAATAGTGGGAATTGGATATGACGTCAAAGGCTACCTGTATTTTCATAAAGTGTATTTAATCATTCAGATAGCAGGGTAAACTAAAGAATTGTTCTAACTCCCAGAAAGAAACTTTAATTATAACCACTTGGAAGCAAATTTCTCATCTCTGAGTCAATTGTAAAAGTTTTCATCTATCATGACGATTCAAAACATAAAATGCATTGTTCATAAGGTGTCGCAGGTTCTGTTGTTTTATTAACACATGCTTTTACTCTGTTCATCTAAGAGGACTTTGTTTTGACCAGTACTAAATTCTTCTTTCTTTGAATTCACATGGCAAACATCACACTAACGTTAAAGTGATTACTCATCATTCCATACGGTTCGCACGCTTTCCTTGGACAGTGAATGAAGACGGGGCACCGTGAGTGAAATCTGCAATTATGCCCCATTCCGTCCCTCAACTTCTTTTATTACAGTCAAAATTATTCATTTACGTTAAGTTTTCCCCTTCCTTATTTGCCTTTTTTATGCTTTAAACCAAAAAGCAAACATGTTTAGTGACCTGGAACCGCTGATTGTGGTATAGTCATTTTTCTAGTTTCGGTGTCATGACCTCCCGTCCTCAGTGATCCTCAGGTAAATAAACTTTGACTTTAAGGATGCCTCAGACATTCCATAAAGAGTGTCATCGCATGAACACTGTACTTCTTCTACACCCATTACTCGCAGCTAAAAGCAATTAATCATCGCGTAGCATTAATCAGATAGCTATCGCATTCTCGGAAAACTACTTCACAACCGTTTCATTCTTTTGGCAATCGCCAGCAGCGCGCGTTCTATCTGACACCGATGGGGCTTGAACCGCTAACTTTACTGTTCTCTACACAGCAGTATCGTGTAAGTCAGTTGACAGCGAGTGGTGCTATACCACATGTAGTGACATACAACGGTAAATACCGTCTCTCGTGGCTTAGTGGTCTCAACCACCGACTTGCCACACTCGTGTTACGGGTTCTAACTTCGCAGACGTCAGATGGACTGCGCACTGTTGACAATTCCCAAAAAGATGCATAGGCCGTACAATGCTGTTCCTGACTTTCGATGGCTGCCTAACCTAGTGAAGTTGTCAGCAATTTAACTTGCATTATTCGAATCCCCTTACTCCACTTAGCAGGTACCATCGGCCGGTGCAGAACGTATATTTGGAGACATTCGACTCCTCGAGATATACGGACGGCGCGAGTTTCCTTCGCAATCCGGGTATGCGTCAAAGAACATTGCTTTGTGAGACTAGGTTTCAGTGAAACTGAGTCTAAAGGGACCAAGCAGCAAGAATGAAGGTAGTAGCTGAAATCCTACTATCATACATATAACCAGCGTACAGGAGACATCAATAGCTTTATGAGTGCGAATTCAGACTAGTCCTCTCTTTATATATCATGTCTATGTTGATAATCACTGATTTCAGATGAGTGATTTGCCAGGTTATCGGAGACTCCTCACCTGCGCTCAAATACAGACCAGGTAACACTGCCACCAAACATCAGCCCGAAGGATCACTGTGCTTGGGTGGTATTATTTTCCCTGACAACCAATATGCGTGTATATGTTCTTTTTGTACTTTCAATAAAACGCAGTCCTCTGCAAGAAGATAATCGAAAGAAAAAACGGAAACTAGTGCCATTGTTTACGGTGTATGCCCCAGTCAATAATGCAAGTTATGAAGTTAGTTGTCTGCATTCATCCAAATCATTCTTCATGAATTTTACCGGCAATGACAACGAAACACCTACACCTAAACTTCACCAACCTTAAATTTCGGGCAGGTTTCTAGCACGAAATTATTGCAAATGCGCACAAAGCTATATATATGCCGTCACCGGTGGTGGCCTGACAAGTTTCTTACACAGATAACGTCAATCTAATGCTTGCGGTGAATATACGCTGGTGGACCAGACTAAGGCAAAGGAATTACCACGCACACTTGTCTAAACCGGGAAGTTGGCGATGACGCCTTGGCACATTTGGGGTGCAAAAAAAGCAGCGCAAAGGAAAGATCACTCACCTGGCACAATATCTCCAAAACCGATGGTGGATAGGGTAACAAAGCAAAAATAGGACCATTTGACATAATCACGCGATTCCCAAAAGGTGAACACGGTTGCGCCGATTAGTATATACACAGCCATCATACACAACGTTAGGGTGATTGGAACGGTGACTTGATCCGTCTGCTTTTGCGATGGGGCTGGCGGGAATTTTAACGGTAACATTAGTGCTGTTGCTTGACTGGGTCTTCCTCTTTCATGACTGCTCTTTCTGCGCCGCTCTACCAAGCCGGATTTGACGGCCGGCTGTCTGGTGGTGATTGGAGTGTAATCAAGTTTGCTTTTTAGGGTTTCATTCTCCGTAATCCACTCTGAACGATCATGCACCCTTGTGAGCGGTACATTTCTGCTCGTCATGGTGGTAGACGGCGACTGAAGCGGGACTGGGGAGCTAGGTGTGAAGGCGGATATTGAAATATCGGAATTTTCGCTTTCTTGTTCTGATCGCGTTAAGTAAGGGCTCGGAGGTTGTTGAACCACTTCTGTGTGTGATGTATCTTTGGATGGTAGCATGGCAGATACAGAGTGGAGAGGTCTATTTGTATAACAATCAATGGTTAAAGCTGTGGAAAACGGTTCCCAGTCATCCGTCAAGCGATAGCTAGGTGATATGGGGTAGGTGTTGAAGTACTGGTGTGTATCTTCATTGCTAATTCTTCCCGCATGTCTATCATCTGTCCAAACAGGAAGGAATTCTACACTAGTGGGTTCGGTCGCTGATGTCTTTGGGGTTATTCGAAATACACTTCCCGGAAGTTGTACCGAGGATCCCACTTTATTGCTCACTGACGTACGCGAAGTTCTCGAGGTCTTTCGTTCGGTCTGCTTCTTTCCTTTGAGTGGATAACAGCACCGTCTTTTAATGATCCGAAATACCGGGCGGCACATACGAATGTAGCAAGTTTGAAAAGCACTGGCGAAGTAATTTCCATTATTGGTTAGGTAGCAAAAGAACAGTGGGATCCCAAAAACGGCATACAGCATTGTTAACAGCCGACCAGTTGTAGTGTGCGGAGTGACGTGTCCGTAACCTAGGGTTTTAGAAAAGACAAGGAATGCATCTCTCTTCGAACTAAGCATAATCACAGTATATATGAAAAAGCGTTATTCACATTCAACCTGTACCCTAATACAAATTCTTTAGCTTAGCGAAACCGAACGGCATTGCACGTTTTGCTTTTATATTAGCGCTCCACAATGGCATATATTTACGCATTTCTAGTTCCATTAGCATGCTTTACAATGTTGAAAAACGTGGTTATTTGCTTTAGTGGGTTAAAGAAGACAATAATAATTAGAATATCAATCATTTATTAACCCAATTGTTCAGATCAGAGTAGTATTTGTGTTTAATGTCCCACTGCCTAGTATTTAACACATTGATCTCACTTCTAGGAGGAAGACGGTGCAAAGGGAGAAATGCGGTGGTTACATTCATTTATTCCAACCACTCTCGATACCTATACTGAATAATGTATAATGGGAGCAAGTAGAAATCTGTATCTGTGCAACTCTATAGTAATATGACCAACAAAGTTAAAAAATGCAAACTGTGACTTTTCAATACTTTGATCGTTTTTCACTCTCGCACGTGACATCATTAAATGCGTAACTCGCGGTACATTGGGACTCAAAACTGTGAGGTATCAGTAGGTAGTCTTTCTCTGGAACTAACATTTGAGGAGTGCACATCCAACAATCATGTGAACCGCTGCAGTACGTTTGCTTCCATTGTATGCGACGGTGAACTATTTCAGACACTTACTACTCGCAGTTCAAAGCACTGGGTATGGAGCACTCGATTCAGATCTGGAACCCCAAGTGCACTGCAAGATGTTCGTAATTGGAGGATCGGCCTCGGCATGAGGAAGTTACCCAGATTTATTACATGGTAGGTCATGAGGTCCACTCATAACCGACGATGGGACAAAGTGTATAGTCTCAGCCTCTCGCATTTGTGCTATTACGATAAGCCCAGTAAACTGGGGATAAACCTGGTAGTGCCGTGTTGCACACGTTCAATCGTCGGCACCACTTCTCTAGTGGTCGAGCATATCCCTATGTAGTAACGGGCTTCACAGTTCCTTAGACATTCCTATACACCCTGCTAATAACTTTCTTCTGAGAGGGTAGTATTTTTATTCATGGTTACTGGGAATCACAGCATTCAACTACCAATATATTGAGAACTACGTAACGTTCAAATATTTACAAGCAACATTTTGACTATCCTCATCACACTATACCACCTAAGTTGCATATTACAATTTTAATTTACAATTTTAACTAATTTAATTTTAACTAATCATATAAGTTACGTTAGCTTAGAAATTTTGTGACAAATATTACTTTCGAATCAATTGAAGGAACTTGCAATGTTTAGGAGTAGTCAAATCGAGGTACCCGAACGTAGTTGGACTTCTGTCGCCCCAACCAAGTTCGGAATTATGTGTGCATTGCCCTGTTCCTGAGACTTTGCGGCATTTTAGTTAGCACTGAAGCAGACTGACTCTTCGCTATATGGAAAAGATCCCTCTAACCGTGGCTAAGGGAAAGCAGTATCAATGTATGAAAATGTTAATAAGTGTACTTTGTTTTCTCATTAAGTAACTAACCTATTCTTTTGGAACTGACAATCCATGAAGTGCTAGTGATGGAAGCACTGGAGAATCACGGTCGCATTACTGCGGTAAGCTATTACTTCGTTTGTAGGGGTCAATTTACTCTGACACCACCCTATTTACCTGGCCCACAACGTTGCGAAGTGCCATCATTTTTTCTCAAGCTGTTGCGCAATAAGGCTTCCGTTCATGTGCCTATCTGAAAATACACCGTCTGTGTGTATAAATGTTAAGGGCTCCATGCAGATTTTTCAAAACCACGGGGCCATTATCACTTAACCTTCACCCCTCAGTAAATATGTTTTATGATTAACTGTGATGATAGGGCAAACATTTGAATAACTGTTACTTTCATTTGTTACCATATTCTGTGTCAACCGGTTTTGACAACGTAAAGGTTTTCCAATCCTTATCGCTACTCAATGTTGAACAGCGGTTTCGTTCGATGGTGTGAAGTTCACAGCAAACGTACCTATCAGTTATTTGGAGGTATAGCCGTCGTTAGAGAAAATTGTTACACACGGATATCTATAAGATTCACAACTCTCATAGGACAAATAATCAACAGTATATACTTATTTCATCATTTTCAGCCCCATTTGGTAACAACAAGATGATTCGGAGAATTTTGGTGCTCTGCTTCGGTATCTGATTTGTATACCAATAAGAGGAAATTGAAGTCTAGTGCACTTCCGGATGGGTGGTAGCATATTCGAGTCACCGAATACCGCGCTGAACCGTAAGTAAAAGCATATAAAAATTTCTAATTACTTGATAAGCATTAGTTTGCGAATACTAACACTGCTGTCTTCGTTGTCACGGGTGTGTTAGCGCATCAGCCTCCCGATTTGCTTTCGACAGGCAGCCTGAGATGGAGTAAGCTAACACGTGATCTTTTCCGTGAGAATGAATTGTTGGTGTATTACTTGACGGTTTCCGTGTCTGGGGGGGGGGACACCACGCAACCGCGGACATATTGACACCTCGCATCAGGAAACGCGCTGCACGACCATATTTTAGTGTTGGAAAGTTGCTCATCAGTAATATCATTGGCTGACTTGTATGAGAAAAGTGATGGATTTGATGCATTCTGGATTTAATGCATGCATATGTTGACGAAGTCCATTAGGTTTTGCACACCGTCTAATACCTTCCTTGATGTACAAATGAATTGTGGACTACCCACATAACAATCGAAGGGCTAGCAAAATCACCAGAACGCTAAGCTTCTACCAAACGTGTGACCAGTATGGAACATGTTAGTAGGACTTTCTGTGCTGTGAGACATTGTCAGCAATATTCAAATCAGAAAGCTGAACGCGATCTATCAGTAGATATAGTATATATAGCTGTAGCTGCATGAATAACGATGGTTGGCGACCCTGCAATTCCGGAGTTGCCTGTCACAGCAGTCTCTGTAGAACAGCCACAGGACGCCTACACCTACAGAGAGACCATGAGTGGTTTGTGCATCATTACCCACAGCTCTGTCCGCACACACCATATCCAGCGTAAACAAGAAGGAATGAGACCGGAAAGCATGTGAATTGGCGCTACTTTTTATTAACGAAGCCGACCCACACCCATTGCACATATGATGCAGCCGCATTCCTATTTATCTAAGTTGCAACTAGTACGCCGGACAGTAGTCCACTCCACACAGGATGGAACCACACTTTTTGCCTAGTACGACCACGAGGACAGTGCACCCCGCACCCCCAGCAACGATTCACAGCCTCCTAGTGCTAGTAATCGATAGATAGATAGATAAATAGATAGGTAGATAGATAGATAGATAGATAGATAGATAGATAGATAGATAGATAGATAGATAGATAGATAGATAGATAGATAGATAGATAGATAGATAGATAGATAGATAGATAGATAGATAGATAGAGACGTGGTGTAATCATTATAAACAATGAACCATGAATTTATACGGGTTAAGAAGCGTTACTTTACAAGTCCCATTGGATTGTTTGTGGGAATATCGACAAAAGAATAATGATAATAATGATAGTAAAACAGTTAGTACCTCAACTATGAAAATAAGGACTCATCGTTTGCTCCGCTGTAGTCCTGCGATCCACTTAGATGCACAGCATCCAGTTAACAACAAATAATTCCATGGTATACTCCAGGCGTAGGATTGAGACGTAGTGTTAAGTAACAGTGTAAGTGAATGAATGCATCGTCCAATCGTCTTTTAAATACTCTTGGTGTCGATGCAGAGACGACCGATTCTGGGAGAGCATTCCACGGGTGACAGACACGAATGGAAAAGAAATTTCTGCGGCACTCCAGACGACCGTATTGTTCTGCGAGTTTTAATGAGTGGCCCCTCAGGTTTGTATTGCTGCTGAGCTGCAGTAAAGGGCGGCACACATGATGTTGGTCTCACAGAATCAAGTATGCCATAATCAGGTCACCTCGTAGTCTGCGATAGCTTCCACTGAATACCCCCAATCATTGCAGCCTCATCTGGTAGGAAAGATTACGCATTCCAATCACGTTCTTAGATGCCTGACGTTGTGGCTGCTCCAGTACATTAAGGTCGTGTTTCAGCCATGGATGCCAGGCTTGAATTGCGTATTCGACATGGGGGCGAACATGCGCACTGAGCATTGGTCGAGATATGGAGCTGTTTATTTGACCAAAAGCCCTTCGCTACGGCCCGACATGTTGGCTTCCAGTGTTTGAGGTCTTTTCGGATTGTCTGCAGCAACCCAAGTCATCTTGAACCTGGACACCCAAGTCAAGTTCGACAGCTAATTGTTGCAGTATATTCGTCTCCAGCCGGTATGAGTAGCTGCCGTGATGTCGGACGGAAAGCACTCTGCATTCACTGACCATGAAATGCAGTAATTTATGGATTGAGCGTTGATACACCGTATCGGGGTCACTCTGAAGCAGATGCTGGTCGGCGTTCGCATTGATCCTGCGTCAGATCTTGATATTGTCGGAAGTTTGAAGCGATTCCTTGCGTAAGGTCACTAATAAACACCAAAAACAAACGTGGACCTAGAACTAAACATTGCAGCACACCACACTCGAATTGTATGGGGTCCGATAAAGGGCTCCAAACTCTGACCTTTAATTGCAGCTGAAATAGAAAGTTGGTAATCCAGCTTAAAAGTGGGTCGCTGATCCCGTAATGCGGGACAGTAATGCTTGGAGAAGAGTGTCCGCTGGTCTAAACGATTGAAAGCCTTGGAAAAATCTAAGTGGATAACATCAACGCCTTCTCCAGCGTCAGTTGACTCGGTCCAACTAGTGCGTGCGATTAGTAAATTCATTTTACATAACCGTTGTCTTCGGAAACCATGTTGCTCAGACGTGACGAGGTTACAGTTTTTCAGCTAACACACCGGTGCATCTTCAGCTATAAATTCCATGATCTTGGAGAG